GGGGGGTACCAAATTCTTTATTTGGAGGAATTATAAAACTTAAGTGGATATTCTTGGTACAACTTATAGAAAAGGCAAAGGTAACCCTTTCATGCATGCACCAAACTGGGGACCTGGAAGTCACCTGATGCCCGTTGGGACTTCTGCCTAAGGTATAGATAGCTCAAGTTAGCACTGTCTCCCAGGGTGTGCTAGTGAAAGAGATATTCTGCCCTGCCAGATTCAGGGCAGAATCAAGTTGGTTACAAGGGCTCCCAGTTCTCTGATGGATTCCACCTGCTCCTCTGGGTAGGGTAATGAGTCTCAGTGAAGTCATACAGTGGAGGTCATCAGTGGCCATTTGTGCAGTTCTAGCAGTGGTTGATGTACACTTCTTCCCCAGTATAACACAGGCTCTCTTGCATGCAGCCTCCTCTCCCAGTGGCTGGGCTGTGGGTCTCTGATGTCCCGAGGAGGATTCAGTAAACTTTTTGTTTTGCAGACTGTTATCACTTGCTTGGATAATTGTGAGGAAATTTCTACTGATCCACTGGATATAACAGAATGTCTTATTTGGTCCATAAATTGAACATAATTTTTTAAGTTCCCCCCAAATGAAAGTTTTTGTAGTTACCATTTTGTCAGTAGTTTCTAATGGATTTGCATTGCAAGCTCAAATAATATAATTGGTACAGTAAGTCCTTTGAACTCTGTTGAGTAATTACTTTTTAATATTTAAAAGCCCAAATATTAGCTTTCAAGGAACAAAAACACTTCCTTAAGATATTGAATAGGTGCAAAAGGCAAAGTAGGAACTTTATGGTGGGTGAATCTGGCACACACCATTTGCCCAAGGAATCAAAGTCAGTATCATCAACAGTGGAATAAATAAATATCTTATGCCTTCAGATATGATAGTTGATATGGGTATAATGATCTTTCTATAGTATTCTTGCTAAATCATAACTCCACTCTAACCATAAGGGAACATAAAGGAATTCAAATTAAGAGACACCCTGCAAGGAGAAGAGGAGGAAAGGTGGGTGGTAACGGAATTGGAAATAATCAAGAAGGTCATATGCGTGTACCAGTTTCCATAAACAAAAATCACTGTTCTGTACTACCAACAAGCACTAAGGAGGAAGGGAAGGAGGGAAAAAGGGAGGAGGAAGGATGCTACAAAATAATAGACCTATCCCCTTTAATAATAGCAAGGTCAGGACAGATAGAGACTGAGCAACAGTTCCAGAATAAATGAGATATACAAAGAATGAAAGGTCAATGCACTGTTTGATCCTAGTTTGAATCTTAGAGCAGAATCTTTTTTCTTTTGGCATGAAGGCACTTGTGGGGTGATTGATAAAATTCAAATAAGGTCTAATGGTGGAGTAATAATATTGTATCAGTATTAATGTCCTGATTTTGATGATTATCCTAGAATATCCTTATTTTTCGGAAACTACTACTGAGGTGTTTTGAGATACAGGGGTGCTGTGAATTGAATGTGTCCCACAAAGTTTACCTACTGGAAAGTTGATCCCCAGTCACCAGGAAGGAAGCCAGTTAAAAACCAAATTTTCCATATTGACACATAATGAAAGCTCAGACAATCTTAGTCAGGCACTGAAATTTCAATGACACTGACACTTGCAGAAATTAGGAACATTCAGACTGCAGATGGTAGTTATTTTTGCTGCAAAGTTAAAGAAATTGAACAACTGCTTTGACCTCCCTCCTTTCTCCCTTGTGTGAAATCTAGAAGTGAGAGAAGGAGGAAACTTGAAGGCTGTGGCTTTTGGACAGGTGGATTCCCCTGTGCACACAGAGAACTCCATCCTGACTTCAGAAATACACGGACGCAGTGGAAATGTGGTCAATATTGATGCCCAGACACCCACTTTTCCTGCCTAGGACCACACTGGAATGTGATCCCTGAGGCACTGGGCCATGTCCCTCTAACAACTGGTCAGGGTTAGGACCCCAGCCCAGCCAAGATGTGGGGAGAATCTGAGGTGAACAGAATCAGTCAGACAACTAGGGAACCTCATGTTCCAATAAGACAGATATAATACATAGTGCTCTTCTGGGAACTTTAAATTCCCCTGCCAAGGGAACACAAGCTGGTCTGGATGTCTGTCTCTGTTGGTTCCAAACAGGTTCAGTCTAGTTGTTGCTATGGGGGAAGGGAGCACCCCAGAGGAAGGAAGTGTCCAATAACTATGGAATTCCAGGACATCACATATAGACTTCCATGAGAGAAAGAAATTATTTCATATCTTATTATGAAACTTTTCAGATCTACAAAAAGGTATAACACCATCCCATCTCCCCAGAGAAGGAAACACTGCCTCAACTTAAAAGTCCTGTGTCCTCTTCTCTGCCTGTTTCCTCTCTGCTGCCTCTTCCTTCCTGGCTTTCCCTGCAATCCCTCATTCCTTGTCCCTTCCCAACCACCCGCCTCATCCCCCTTTTCCTAGAAGGGAAGAGGCAGAATGTGCTATGTCCCCTTCCATGTTCACATAGGATTGAAGAGCACCTGCTTGCCATTTGTAACCCTTGGTTACCCAGGCTTTCTCCTGCCAAGACTGGGAGAGTCCAGGGTTTGTGTTTCTTTCCAGATACTTCAAGACAAGTTTTCCTTCAGCCCGTCTCTCTGCACCCTCCCTAGCCATGTAGGCAAAAGCACTCTGTGACTCAGGGTAACCTGTGCAGAAGGTCACTCTGTGTGGGTTCAGAGAGAGGAGTTTGTTAGGTGACAAAGGTGGAGAAAGGGAGTAGAGTCTCAGAGTCCTCAAATCACTAGGGGAGCAGTGATATTTCTAATACACGGGGAGTGGTTGAACTCATAGTCTGACACCTGTAAATTGCTCAGTGCTACTTGGAATATCAAAGAAATGAAAGGGACATTTCTTCCTTTTGCATAGTTTCATTGGGAAGCATGTTCCATCAAACAATTAAAAAGAAAAGACCCATTCACTATTCAATCACGAGGCAAAACATGCTGCCCATGAACATCAGTGCTGTAGGAAACTAAGTTAGATAAAAATATTATAAGCAGTCAGATAGGGCTGGGCCCTTAAAGGAGCCAGTGGGGAAGAGGAGATACCATGCCACCAGGTGTGGGCCAAACCTGAAGACAAAAGATAGAACAAATGCACCCACACACCTCCCTAAGGATAAGCACCAGGGACTGGTATCCTAAATAGGTCTCTGTCACCTTGAGAAAGCCAGAAAGAACCACTAACTCAACCCCTTACAGGAAAAGCCACTATTGTGTATTCCAGCCACGTGCCATGTGACTGGCTTCCCCATTTGATCCCCATTTAATCAATTTGACCTGAGCAATTATACGTGTAATCTTATTCATTGACCATAGTTTGTCGCACCTCATGCCCTCCTTGTGATTTCCTACGTTTCCCATCTTGGACCCACCTCACAGCGTGGATTTGGTCTATAAAAATCCCTAGAGAAGGCAGGTTCTTTGGCAACCCACTCGTGTCCCCTTCTGTCTCTCTCTCAGACAGAAGCTTTCTTTCCTTTAAGAAATCTAGCAGGTGGGGAGATTCTTTCCCATGTATCATAGAGACTTTTAATGACTTGTGGTAGCAGCAATAAGACATTAATAGAAGGAGAAAAGAGAAGAGTCTCTAAGCTCCCACCTCAACGATGGAGAAAAGGGAGCACAAAATAAGCCCTGAAAAACCAGAAGAAGGGAAACAAAGACAGGAGCAAAAATCAGTGATGCTAAAAACAGAACAACTAACAGAAAAATCTATCAAACAAAGAACTACTTCACTGAAAAGGGCGATACAATTGGTAAGCCTCTAGCAAGACTGCAAGGAAAAACAAGAGACCACATAAATCCCAAACTCAGGAATGAAACAGGGGTCATCAATTGGGACCTGCAGACATCCAAGGACCACACAAGAATTGCTGCCAGTAACGCAGGCACACGGAAATAGGGCATTTACCTAAAAGGAACCGCGTCCTCACAGAGTAACCATTGAGAAATCGGAATTTGTAACTTAAAAGCCTCAAAAGAGGGATGGGTAGAGGCAGGAGGAGACTGGCGGATCTGTACTGCAGCTTCTGTCCCTCCTCTGAGGCTGTCAGGTGCGGTCCTGGGTGGCGGAAGTTGGGGGGGGCACGTGTCACTGTGCCATACACCTGGACTCCCCTCTGCATCCCCCACCCTCCCTAGCCTGGCCTGGGAGGTGGAAATTCCAGCCCCTCCAGACACTTCCTCCTGTGCTAGCGCCCCTCCCACAGCTAAGGTACTTATTGCTGCCCTGAGGGCCTTCAGGTCCCCAGGCCCAAGAATGGGCAAGAGGGAAGTGATCTTGCTCTCTTCCAGCCAGGCTGCAGTCTACATCAGAAGCTGGTAACATAGATTGCCCAGTGGAAGATAGAAAACCAGTGGCAAGGTTTTGCTGAGCTTCCAGAACGTTGCCAACATGGACCCAATAGTGTTCCTGGCAAAGAAACATTTGTTTCTCTAGGCTCCTAGTGCCTGCACCGGGGGCGGGGTGGGGGGTGGGGTGGGGGGTGGAACATGGGCCCCTGCTGGTTTGGGTTGTACTGGAGGTGCAAAGGCTCAGCGGGCAGACCTCTGACTAGGAGCCTGTCCCAAGACTCATCTGAGTTTGAGTTTCTCCCTCTGGACTGAGATGCACACATGACTCAGGAAGGAGTCAACAGTAGGATTTTCAGTACCAGCATGTTTGAACAAGCGGTGGCTTGTTCACAAACCAACTCACAGCAGTCAGGACCCAAGCTACTGTGCAGGTCTGATTAAGGAGGATGCTGTCCCCTGAAGAGTATCCGCTTTGTGTTCCAAGGCTGGGACGAAACAAAAGTGCCTGAAACACCAGCTCCACCCGGCAAGCCTGGAAGATCCTTCTCCAGGAGTAGGGAGTTTCGCTGTCCATCCCAGGTCCACCACACCTTTGCCAAGAAGTTGCAGGTGGTTTTCTGCAGCCAGCAGGTTATAGTACTGTAGCGAACAAGAACACCCTGTCAGCTCTGATCCCCGTCAACTGGTTCAGATCTACTCAAGGAATCCAATCTGAGTCTGTTGCCCCTGGAACGCCCACGGAGATTGTCCCTCCCCAGGGATCTGACGTATGCAGAGGCGCTAGCCTATGGGTCTGGGCACAAGTCCTTGTCCTCAACACCGTGAGAAACACATGAAAGGTGGACACCATTTCCTGCAACCAAGAGATACGGAGGTTAATATGAATGCTGGTCTCTTTCCGGTAGTGGGACCATACTACTAGTCAGATTGTCCTCTTTGTGATTCCTAAACTTGCCACTTTAGAGAGAGAAGTTGCTTATATTAGGATGGAGCCTTGCTTAATCTGTATTGTTGTATTTTAATGTTCAAGTCTATTTTGTTCTATTCTGATTATAATACCTTTACCTAAGGAACTTATCTCTCACTGAACTCCTTTTCAAATAAGAAAACATTGGAAGATTCAGAGTTCTTAGCCAGACATGGCGGCTCATGCCTGTAATCCCAGCACTGCTGCAGGAGGTGAGGGGTTGAGGTAGGAGGATATCTGCAAGTCTGAAGCCAGCCTGGGCTACATAATGAGTTCAAGGGCAGCCTGAACTACATAGCAAATAAACAATATCAAAATATCAAAAAAAAATCTATGTTACTGAGCCACACCACTAGCCTTGCTTCAACCTGTAAAATATCAGTATTTTTTAATCAGAAGAATAATCACATAGCTATGTCACTGTTCTTGGGTTATAGTGTCAAATTAGCTCAGAATGTGTGGTGTAAAGAGAAATATTTCTGATAGTTCTTTCTTTAAAAGACAGGGTCTCACAATGTACTTCAGGCTGGCCTTCAACTTGCTATGTAACCCACGCTGGCCTCAAACTCAGAGTCCTCCATCCTCAGCCTCCTCAACGCTGGGATTACAGGTGTGTGCCAACACTCCCAGCTTTCCAACAGCAACTGTGACTAGGAAGTCCAAGATTAAGGTGCCAGTATCATGGGTTGCATTCCGGGTTTTTTTTTTTTTTTGCGGTACCGGGGATTGAACTCACGACCTTGCACTTGCCAGGCACGTACTTACGCCACTGAGCTATATCCCCAGCCCCATGTGGGTTGCATTTTGAAATGACTTTTTGAGGGTTGTAAGCAGCTGCCAACACATTGTGTTCTCACATGACCTCTACTTTGTGTACATGGGGACAAGGGGATGCTCTCTGGCATCCATTCTTATACAGACACCAGTCTTATTAGATCAAGGTCTCACTCCTATGATCTCACTTAACCTGAAAGACTTCCCTTGTGCCCCCAATCTCCACACGGGCTAGAGCTTCAACATATGAATTTGGGCGTGAGGACAATACAAACATATCACATACACAGTCTACAGTGAGGATGCACCAAACTATGAAAGTAAATTGGGAAAATTTCAGTTTAAGAATGATTGAAAATTTGAATACACATGTTATAGAGCAGTCAGCAGTACAAATAAACAGAAAAGTTGGTGTAAATACATGCACTTGTTTTATGATGGTGTTGGAAATTTTTTTTCAGTGATGGAAGTCAAAGTCAGGGTCTTGCTCACGCAAGGCCAGTGTTCTACCACTGAGCTGCATGAGCAGCAAACTCACTGATTTCTAAAGAACACGTCTTTCCTACTTCAGTTCACGGTAGAGCTTAAATTGCATTTTGCTCTCAAGTACTCTCTTCAAATGAAAGCTAAGGAAAACTGGTTAAAGTTCCTTTCCTCATCTTGGCCTAAAATTTCTTGTACAATGACAGTGTTATCACAATTAAGGCTCGGTCTGGTCCATTCTGTGAACCCACATTAAAGCTTATACTTTTAAAGGATTATGTACTCATACCAGTACTCTTACTTTTGCTAAAACAATTAAGACCTGCTTTCTCACTGAATTACTTCGAGAATCTCTGCAGTCCTGAATCAATGAAACAAAGAGGAATATCAAGAATTTGGAAACAATTTCTGATCCTTGGATGGCCAAATGAACACAGCAACCTTCTTCAAACAACAAGCAAATTAAAAAATAACACATGGTGTTACTACAATACATTCCAGACTGGGAGGAAGCTAAGGGGAACCCGTTAATGTATACAATTTAATAGATATTAATAACACTTTTCAAAACACAGGGTATATATACCTAGCTTAAAATGACTGTCAGGGGCTGGGGATTTAGCTCAGTGGCACAGCACCTGCCTGGCAAGTGCAAGGTCATGAGTTTGATTCCTGGTACCAGAGAAAAATCAAAAATAAAATACAATGAAATAAAATGACTGTCAGCGTGAGGATTAAATGGGATAATTCTCACCAAGCATTTAGTGCTGTGCTTTGGTTCACAGGTGGTCAGTACTTAAACCTACATTAATTATTATTATGTCGCAGTAGGCAGAGGAGACGTGGGGTACAGAAACAGCACAATCAAGTGGAGTCAGCATGTCCACTACGTGAAGCTATGAGAGGGGAGTGGTATAAAAAGGGTACATGGAAGAAACCAAGTTGCAGATTGTTTTATCTTTTAAAGTAGAAATGGCCTGATTTTTAAAAAAATTCTTTATATATTCTAGATAGAGGTCCTTTGTGTCAGGCACTGTCAGCTAAAATGTTTTCCCAAAAGGTGGGTTTTCTTTTTACTCTGCTGGTGATTTCTTCTGATGTGCAAAAGCTTTTCAATAAGATGAGATCCCAGTTGTTGATTCTTTGAAGTACTTCCTGTGCAGTTTGGTTTTTGTTCACGAACTCTCTGCCTCCCCCTGTGTCTTCAACATTTGTACCCACTTTCTTCTCCAGTAGATGTACTGTTTGTGCTCCTTTCCATAGACCAGTACAAATCAGCAGTACAATTATCCCAGCTATCCTGGGTATATACATATATTTTTCCCTTCCTTCTTCCTTTCTTTTCTCCTTTCCCTCACCCCAGGTATTCCTTCCTTTGAGCACTTTTTTCCCTTTCATAATATCTATTGTACCTTTCATTTTTATTTACTCTTTCAGGTTCTTACTCTAAGAAGAAAATATGATGTTTCCACACATAGGTCTGATTTATTTCACTTATGCCTATGGTCTCTAGTTGCACCCATTAGCTATAAAAGCCTTGAGTTTATCTTTTTCTATAGCTGATTAATACTCCATTGTATAAAAATACCACATCATTTTTATCCATTCCTCAAGTTATGGGCATTCGGGTCATTTCCAACCCGAATTTCCAACCTGGTTTATCTCTGAGAAATTTTGCTGCTATAAACATGGCTGCACTTATATTGCAGTGGTATGTTTTCAGTTCCTCTGCAAAAATACCCAGAAGGGAAATAGCTGGGTTGAACAAGACCTTCAATCCTAGGTTTTGAGGAATCTCCACACAGATTTCCATAGTGGTTGTAGCAGGCTGCACTCCCACCAGCAGTAGAGAAGGGTTCCATTTTCCCCACAGCCCCTCCAGCATTTGTTATGAGTTGACTTCTTGATGATAGCCATTCTTTCTGGGGTGAGATAGACACTGGATAGCTGGGATAATTGTACTGCTGGTTTCTACTGATCTATTGAAAGGAACAGTTAATGCTTAATTTTTTATTCTTTCTCCTTTTCTATTTTTTTGACCAATTTTGCATGCTTTTATCTGGTAATATGAACAGCCAATTTGACGACAGCAATGTGCAATATAAGAAGCATTGTTGAATTCTTATCATCCTCTTTAGTGAAATCTGCATCATTTCTCATGGTTTTTATTATTAATTTTATTCTCTTTAAAATAGGGTGAAAATATCTCATGTAGATGGGAAGGCACCAGCAGGGAAGTGAAAATTTATAGATGTAGGAGGAAGGTGTGATAATGGAAATAAGGAAGGCCCTGAAGATACAAGCAGGGGAAGGAATGGGATCTAGAACCCAAAGAAAGCCAGGAGGAGAGAAGAGGAACAATTTGTCCTGGGTAAATGTGGGTTTCTAATGGAGGTGGTAGGCAGTGGAGAGAGTGCTCTTCTGATGCCAGATGGGAGAGATCTGAGGATGGGGCAAAGTAAGAAGCTCAAGACCTAAAATGTCTGAGTAAGAGAAATAACACAAGAACACAACAAACTGGAAAGTGAAAAGGAGTTTGGATAATCAAGATTAGCAAAGTGCACCTTCCTGGCAAGCAGAAGGTTGTGAGTTCAATTCCCGGTACCAGACAAAAAAAAAGCAGAGTACTTAGCCATAAAGAAGACAATTTTGAGTTATTTGCAGGAAAATGGATAGCTCTTGAGGCTATAATGCTGAATGAAATAAGTCATTCACAAAAGGTTAAATATTTCTTGCTGTCTCTAACATGAGAGATGTGAAATATAAACAATTTAAGGAGCAACATGAAGAGCCTTGCTAAGCAGCAAGAGGTTACTCCATGGAGAAGGGACAGGAAACTGGAGAGGAGATGGGGGGCAGGGAGGGAAAGTGATGATAGGAGATGTACATTCCCCAGCTGAATGTCATCACTATGCAGTGGACACGTGTATTAATGAACAAAGAAGAAAAATTAAAAAGAAGTGTGGATAATTAAGATTAAGATTTATTTAAAAGATTAATACACTCAACAAATATCTAGCATCATTACTTGAAAATTGAGACAATCAGAATCAAAAGTCATTGGATCTCACTAGGGGGATATACAACGTGTAAGAGCTTTCTGTCACAGCCTCAGTTTTCTTCTCTACAAAACTCCACCCGATCCTAATGACCTGAGATTGCAGTCCTTACTTGTTAGTAGGAGCTAGGGCCTCTGGACAGATAAGGCAGATGTTGACACGGGTGGGAGAAGGGAAAAGATTACTGAGCAGTGAGAACACTTACAAGAAATTTGGCAGAAAACCAAACGCTGGTACAACCGCAATCTTCCATTTTTATCCGATTTGGATCCTTGCATCAAAATGTCTGTTTTTCACCTCTGCAGGTGTGCCGCGGTGTAATCAGGAGAGCAGGAATTCCCGGGTTGCTGCAGGGCTTTGGGGAAAATAGGTGGAGACTGGGGAGCCCTGAACAGAAACTGAACAGAGAGGAAGAGGGCTTGACAGAAGTGAGTTTGAGGAAACGGAAACCGAACAGCTCTCTGCCCTTCTCCCCTGCACCCTTGTATTTTACAGATCTGTAGGGGTGGGGGATTTTCTTCTCTCATTTCTTCCCTCTTCTAGAGCATAAACTCTGGCAGGGCATTCAGGATTCTAATTCTGCCTTTCAGCCCCCAGACTCAGGAGAGCGAGTTACCCTCCTCATATCTACACAACTTGTTCCTCCATTCAAGAATTACCAAAGCCTTGGTCCCCGGGGCTCCTGAGATCTGTCCAAAGCGGACTTGGCCCTGCGGGGCTCCTGCTCTGCCTGGGCACAAACCTGGGCTCCCTTCCCGGGCTCCTTCTGCCTGCCCTGCTGTGGCAGATGCCTACCTGGGCTCAGGCCCCAAGGGAGAGCTGGTCTTTTTCTCCCCGACTGACCTGGCAGCGCGTCCAGTCCTCAGTCCTCCCTGCAGGGGATTTGTCACCAGGTCAGCAAAGTAGCCGAGCCCCTCAGGAAGAAGGTGCACACAGATGTCTCCCTGACTCAGGGTGCCAAGGCTGCTCACTCCCCCGCGGGGTCCGGAGGGTGCAGGAGCTCTGGGAAGTGGGAGCGAAGGAGCCGGACC